GATAACGAGAATATATCTCGGACCTGAAGATGGAGGCAGTATGTTTATCCGAAACGCTGCTAGCCACGTGACGACACAACACGGACAAATGAATCCCGGCGATGTGCCGTTTCACTGCACAAAATACCGAAACAGAAGCTGACAGTGTCTCACGACACGGAAGTGCACACTTCGTAGTCGTAAGTCCACGCCGCCATGTCAGATGCTGGTCTCGTCGCTACTCGTTGTCCGGCGACACTCTTCCAGTGCAGTCCACACTCAGTTACTTCACGAAGAATCATCCATCAGAAGGCAACTGACCGCGGCTCTTGTGCCGAGATTCGAACCGCGTGCGTGACGGAGACGCGGGGTCAAACGGCGGTCGTCTGTCTGCCAGACGACCGAAGCCCCGCAACGCGCGCCCTTTTTAAAGCAGACCAACCGATCAGTCTGGCAATTGGTGTCAGCGCTCGGCCTAGCGCATTTCATGTATCGACCTGGCGACTTTAACAACAGCCGCTTATTATGAGCGTCTGCATTTTCTAAACTCGATCAACGCTGGACGGACTTTTGCGAAATCTGGATTGGATGTTACGCCATCGGACATTATCCAAAACTCTTACTCATTAATTAACTTTATATTATCCGCAGTAGCAGAACTTGTGAGGTCAAAACGACACTACGGACACTTAATATGCAAAGTCCTGAAATCACGTACGGCAGTCTCGTTCGAGAAATTATTTGTTTTATGTGAAGAAGCTGTACAAATCAACGGAAAAGAATTCTGACTCGACCAGCGTTCGATCTGCCCACGAGCGTATTTCGCTGTCATAGAAGTAAGCTGGTTTGTGGGTTAAGTCACAAATGAAAGTTGACCAACTAAGACAACACGCGATTTGTTTCAAACGCCACGACACTTTTAAAATTTATTTTCCTCTTAACGATCCAACAGATGTTATCGACGTACATCTGCCGAAAACACCGCATGCACCAAATACTTTGAAATGCGGGAACTGAAACCACGACGTCCTGAGTCAACAATCACTTTCCGACAGCAAATGAATCTAAAACATGGATTCGAAACCTTTTAACTAACGTCTACTTCATGTATTAATCAACAATTATCTTAATTAATTATGGCGTCTGAGAGTGCGTTTACTTGAGTGACATTTCAATACAACGTTTGATTTCTATTGTTGTGATTCTTCGTGACAGGGTGACGGAATAACGCAAAGCCCCGTTCACTCATTTGCAAGCTGCAGCGGATTGCAATTTCCTTCGCAAACATGACGAGTTGGCGAGACTGCATGAGATCACACGTTTCAAACACTCGGTTAAGCAAGCCGATGTTTCTCTACGTCTTCTGCTACCTACGGCTCTCAGCCTGGACCCAGCGTTGGTCCGATCCTGCTGTGCTCACGATCGGCGTGTAAAATATCAAGATATTCGCCCGAAATGTTTAATTTGTTAGTTAAAAAAATTCCAAAATCGTCAAGTTAACAATTAAGTCTTGCGCCGAAGTACCAGAAGGCACATGCAGGACTGGACTTTCTCCGTTGTTCCACCTTTTTCTAGCCTCTGCGTTTCGGAAATTTGCGCCATTTCCTTTACCAGACGACACTCGCGTTGCACTGGACATTTCTCTCGCACGTGCGTAAAGTGAACGCACAACGATAACGTGTCGTCCGTCCAATTGATGTGGCTATGCGCCCTCATGTACCACTGATCGATGAACCACCGTCAGTTTCATCATAAACTGAACGTTTCACCTGTCACAGCGCGTCCTTCGGCTGATACTCCAACATCCAACACCCTCGCGCCTCTGCACGGCTTCTCCTCACCGCCAAAGCCCGCTGAATGTGTGTGATACGGCGGCATCACAGTTTCTTAGAAGTTCACGCAATGTTTCCGACGTCTTTATTTTCCTCGCAACGCAACTGATCGATGCCTTCTCAGTCTCACGTCTTGTTCGATTACCGCCTGCAAACGTAATTCGTTATGATTTTTCGAAGAATGAAGAAGACCGCGTTAAACGACAGTCGGCAACAGCAAGTACCGCGTTGGGACACTGCGATCTTCATCCGCGACATTCGCACCCGCTGAAACGCAGGGTCACGGGCTGATCCCTCATCCAAGGAAAATACCGCGGTTACTGAAGAAACATGCGACCGACGCCTGAACCCAGAACACCCGCGCATACGAAATTCTAGACAGCTTGCGAGGACTTCATTCACGTGCGTTAAGAACCGATTGCTTTCGACGCGTGCGTCCGTCCGTGCAAAGACCTACTTTATGACACTCGGTGCTGTAAACATCTGAGGAACCCTTTCGTACCATTGACGTTCAAGTCAAGTTTTATGAAATTTCCTGAAGCGATTCAAAATCGTTTGCGGGATGTGAAAGTACTGTCATGTTATCTGTCCTCGTGGGACAGGACATATGCACCCAGTCAAGACGTTCCCAAACTTCTATCGAACCCGTTCCTGAGTTACCTGCATCCCATCTAGGCGAGGTTACGGCCGACTAAACAAGTCCCGCGCATGCTACACGGCCCACCCATCCAACCCGGCGGTGTGTGGCGCGCTCGATGTCCCCGCCGACTCTCCCGAATTATCAAGAGTTCAACGTCTACTCATCTCCGGCAATGTGCTGACGTCATCCGCTCTCCATTGTGTCCACGTGTCTCTTGACCTTCGTCGGCGATTCCACTGCAGCCGAGTTCCAACACTGAAAACGCCGTACCGCGGGGCACAGGTCACCGGTTTGACTCTCAGCCGACTGTCCGTGGCGTTCCTCAGTACCCCCAGGATAAAATCGG